TCGATCTCCTGACCTCGTGATCCGCCCGTCTCGGCCTCCCAAAGTGCTGGGATTACAGGCTTGAGCCACCACGCCCGGCCTGTTTTTATTTATTTACTTATTTATTGAAGACGAGCTCTCACTATGTTACACAAACTGCACTTGAGCTTCTTGGCCTCACGCAATGCTCTCACCTTAGCCTCCAGAGTAGCTGGGACTACAGGTGCCTGCCCCTACTCCCAGCTTCTTGTCTTTATTTTTAGTAAATGAGTAGGATCTTCATTTGCTGAATGAAAAGCACCCTGCCTTTCTCCAATCTCCTCCAATCTGCTCAGTTTTCTCTTCCCCAGAACTTCCTACTACTAAACATCTGCAACTTATCATCTTTCGCTGTTAACAATCTTCCCAAATCTTCAACCACTCCACAGATAACGTGAATGGGCTACATCCTAGGGACACGGTGTCCCCTGCAGCAATCCCCACTCCAGTGGGATGTGTCCTCCACATCCCATGCCAGGGCCAGCTACAGCCAGCCTGTGACAGAGTCCCCACTCTATAGAAAACCCACCACCTGGCTGTACCTTCTTTCTCCCCACCCTTGCTGTTATTGCTGACTTCCTGGTCACCTCCACCACCATGCACTGAAAACCCTGCGGACTGCCTCAGTCTTCTCCCTACCCTGATGCCTGCCATAGCCCTACATGCCAATGGCTGTGTGGACAAGCCCATCCCACTCCTGAGCCTTCCATTTATGGACGTCTTCAACACTGATGACCTACCTGTCCACTGCAGCCCCGCCCTACATTATCATGGCATCCCTAGAGCTGTCCTCCTTGGAAAACTTTCACCTACTACCTCTCTTCCTCTGACCTTGGTCTTTTTCTCTTCCATCTATATCCCCACCATTACCCCTTAAATACTCTGTGACCTCAGAGAGCCACCGAGCCTTCACCTCCATTTTCTCTCTGTTCTACCTCTTTCCAGCCTGGGCCTCTTTTCTCTGAGCCTCTCTCACCAGCTCCCTTCACAATTCCCTGCATCTGACTTCCACAGCCCCAGGCCAGCACATGCCCTGGACGAAAGCCCCCTGTCCTTTCTCTTCCTCCCTGGATGGAGTTACCCCCACCCTGGGAAATCGGGCACCTGACATGGACAGTCGAGGTCCCCATCCATTTAATTCCTTCTCCCCTTCAGTGACCAGTCAGACCTTCCCTTCTGAATCTTCCTGCTCCATCTCTGATCCTTAATTCGCAGGAGAGGACTGCTCCACCTTTACCAAGAAATCCGAGAAATTAGGTCTAATTTCCCACAGCTCCCAGCCTTGCCTCCAATGCAGCCATGGGCACCATCCCCACCTCCCCTCCTCAGGAGAGGGGGCATCCTTCCACACTCCCTGGGGCAGGATCCCAGGTGCCTTGCTGTCCCCTAGCCCTCACTGCCAAACACCAAGTTCCACCAGTTTACCCTAAGGTCTGGGACCACAGCTCCAGTTCAGGCTCTCAGCATCTTATACTTAACCCACTAAAGAGCCACTAACTGGCTTCTCCAACTCCAGATATAACTCCCCAACAGTTCTCCATGTGGGTGCCTAAAACACCCACATTTGGCCATCACATCCCTGCTTAAATACCGTAAAGCCTGCCAAGCGCGGTGGCTCACGCCTGTAATCCCAGCACTTTGGGAGGCCGAGGCAGGCAGATCACCTGAGGTCAGGAATTCAAGACCAGCCTGACTAACATGGAGAAACCCCGTCTCTACTAAAACTACAAAATTAGCTGGGCATGGTGGCACATGCCTGTAATCCCAGCTACTCGGGAGGCTGAGGCAGAAGAATCACTTGAACTCAGGAGATGGAGGTTGCAGTGAGTCAAGACCATGCCATTGTACTCCAGCCTGTGCAACAAGAACAAAATTCTGTCTCAAAAACAAAACAAAACAAAAAAAAAAACACACACGTAAAGCCTCCCTGATACTCACGACACTCACAGAAGGATGCCCAAGCACCCACACACAGCCCCCAACCTTTGCACAGCTCGCATTGTCTCACGCTTGAGGCTCAGCCTCACACCAGCACTTCCAATCCCCTGCACACTCCTGACTTTTTCTTACCTCTGTGCTTCTGCTCAAGCTCTTCTGTGGCCCAGAATGCCCTCCCCCTCTTCCTCATTCTTCCACTCAGCTCAAGTGTTCCTTCCTCCAGGAAGGCCTCCTTGCCCACCCCAGGCTGGGTTAGGCATCTGTACTTTATGCTCCCAAAATGCCTAGTGTATCCACCTCTATCACTGTCATTACCAAATTGTCCTATAATTTTCTCTTTCAGTGAATCTCTCCCCAACCTGACACATAGCAGGTGACCTTAGAAAGACATGCACACAAAATGCCCAAAGGCAGAAGGACAAGCAAGATGAATTCTAGAGGTTCTCCAACATGTGCATGCTGGCCCACACCAATCATACACTCCACAAGCTGGCGGTCACCAAACATCCACCCACGCACTCACCAGACAGGTGCCAGGGCAGCCCCGTCTACCTGCAGCCACTCAGGTCACCACCTGGGCATGATTTTCTTCTACAGTCCCCTTCGGGGGGCCTCTTGTGCCACATGCCCCATTCCCAGGGCCCTCTGTAGCTAATACCCCATCCCCTACTGTGCCTCCCCAGGCACAGTGCCCTTGTGCCCACCTCCCTGGAGCACTGTACCTTGGCCAGGGATCTTACTATGGGACTTTCCATAATGCCTCGAAGGAAGATCAGGTCCAGCTCTGCAGCCCCCGTGGCATTCGGGAGGGATCCCAAGTTGTCCAGGACTTGCTGCATGGCTGGGGGAAGGTATGGGCAGTGAGATACACAGGTATCAGCTGGGTACAGAAGACTAAAACACACCACAATACCTGCCACTCCCCCACCCCCATGTCCCACAGAAGACAGCCCCTCCCCAACAACATTCCCCTCCCTGCCCAGCACAGGCACCCCAGGCCCTTGAATGCCTGGGACAGGGGTCCTTGAGGAAGGGGACGGTTTCCTTGGCCTGTTCTCTCCACCCTAGGTAACACCAGCCTGAGTAGGTGGGAGGCTCCAGGCAGCTGGAAGGGACTCTGAGGTGGGGGGAAGGGAGAAAGGGAAGCAGGTGTCAGGTTCCAGGTCCTGCCCTGCACTAGAAAACCACAAGCTGTTGGGTGGATCACCTGAGGCCAGGAGTTCGAGACCAGCCTGGGCAACAAGGCAAAACCCCATCTCTATTAAAAATACCAAAATTAGCCAGGCATAGTGGTGTAGGTCTGTAATTCTAGCTACTCAGGAGGCTGAGGCAGAGATTGCAGTGAGCTGAGATCACGCCACTGCACTCCAACCTGGGTGGCAGAGCAAGACTGTCTCTGGCTGGGAGCAGTGGCTCATGCCTGTAATCCCAGCACTTTGGGACACCGAGGTAGGTGGATCACGAGGTCAGGAGATCGAGACCATCTGGACCAACACAGTGAAACCCCATCTCTACTAAAAATACAAAAAAAATTAGCCGGGCATGGTGGCAGGCGCCTGTAGTCCCAGCTACTCAGGAAGCTGAGGCAGGAGAATGGCGTGAACCTGGGAGGCGGAGCTTGCAGTGAGCCAAGATTGCACCATTGCACTCCAGCCTGGGCGACAGAGTGCGACTCTGTCTCGAAAAACAAACAAACAAATAAATAAAATAAAAATTAAAAAATAAGACTGTCTTAAAAAACAAAAAAAAAGAAAAAGGAAAGAAAACCAGAAGTTCCTCACTCAATCTCTAGATGGGCTGAAGCCCAGGACTCAGCCACCTGCACCTGGCAGGCTTAAGGATGAGACAGACAGTACTTGGAGCAAGTCCCTGAGTACAGGCCCAAAGTCAAGCGGGCAGCCACACAGGAGCCAGGGCCTGCAGAACCTCCAGTCTAAGCATCACTAATTCAGTGTGACATTGTACAAGTCACTGTCCCTCACTGGCCTCAGTCTTTCCTGCTTGTAAAATGGATGGGTTGGGCGAGATGATGACTACAGGCCCTTCAGCTCTGAGTGGCAATGATCTATAACTGAGAAATTAACATGGATGATAGGAAGTCAAAGCTGAAGCCTGGAACGCTGGCAGGAGCTAGGGAAATAGGCACTGGAGGCCTGGAATGACTGTGTGCACCCAAAGGCCAAGGTCACACCAAGTCATCACAGGGATAAGCAAACTCTCAGCCCGGAATGGGGCATAACAGAGGACATGATAACACCTGCAGCTGGGCCGCAACAACGCCCCGGAGATCGGAGGTGGGGGCTGCCTTCACTCACTGGCAGAGGTGGGAGTTCCAGGCTGTGGCAAGTTCCCGGGAAAGGAAGTGAGAAGCAGAATGTGCCCAGCTGGGGGCAGAGATGGGCAGGGGGTATCATTACTCTGCCACCATGCCACCTATGCCTACATCTGCATAACAGAACCCAAGCCATGGAGGACGGGGGAGGATGCACCCCTGGCGCCTCTCAATGCTCCTGTCAGTGCTCCCCTCCTCCAGGAAGGAACAGGAGTGGAGAGGAGGGGGCACTAGAACTGGAGCTGTCAGAGATGGTTCAGGGACTCCTGGACTCCCATCTCCTTCCTCCTCCTGCTCCCTGCCTTCTCCAGAAAAAAAGTCCAAGCTTGCCCTTCAGACCCCTCTTGCCCAGGCCAGGGCTTGGCATTGGTCAGAGACCTGCGAAGCCCCCAGTGGGCTCTGAAAGAGGCCAGGGCAGGGACCCTTCCCTCCCTGCCAGGGTATGCCAGATTCCCTCCGTCAGTTATCCAGGGAAGGACTGAGCCAAGGGAGTTGGTGCCCTCTGCCCAGGACAGTCTCCTGAAGGTGCCCTCAGATGACCTCTCCCAGGCCACCCTCCCCAGATGCCCCGACTCTGCTGGAGGAAGGTAGGCTAAGGGGCCAGCTGCCCCGCCCCCATCTGGCCCACCCTTCCCTACCTTCCCTCTGGAGCTCCGCTTCCTCAGAAGAGCCCAGGGATATACCCTCCAAGGAGACCCCGCTGCCTGGGCTGCCTGCCATGGCAGCCCCCAGCCCCGGGGACTCCCGGAGTGTCCTCCACACCGCCGTCTGCCGCCTCCCGAGCCAGAGCCTGGCGGGGCTACAGAAGGCGGGAGTCGGGGAGCACCCTCTGAGGAACCAGCCAATAGCAAGGCTCAGCTGCCGTGATCGCCTTGCTGATTGGCTAAAGCCCCCGACTGGCGCTGCGCGGTGCAGAGCAGGCGGTAACCCGGGTGGGAGAAAGGTGGTGGGAGGGAGCCCTAGTCCCACAGATGGCCCGATCCCCAGCATGTCAGTGTCGGTGGGGATGGGGAGGAGGCGTCTAACAGGAGGTTTTGGGGAGGGGGTAGGCATGCTGCCCCTTCAAGACTGGCGCGGTACCCCGAGACCCTCCCCTCACAGCCAGCTTCAGGAGACCCGAGGGAGAAAAGTCTTGACCCATCTTGTCCCTGCACCCTCTTTTCTAGAAGTCCCTCCTCTGATACATCCCATACCACCTCCTGCCTATGCCCTCTGACCTCTGCTCTCAGTCCCCTCTCCAGGCCCTGCTTCCTTTACAATGGTCCCTCAATCGAAGGAAGTCCCCAAGAACGACTCAGCCCTCCACCGGGAGGCAGCCTCACTCGGGCATGGGGCAAATACCTCAAGCCCCAAACGCCTCCCCCCACCAGCCCGCGGCCAGCCACTGGGAGGCAGGATACAGGGGGTGGGGGGTGACATCGCTGTGGGTAGGGACGGTGCCCCAGCCCTGCTTACCCCTCGCCTCACAGCAGCTTCTTCCCCTCCCCCATCTCCCATGAATTCTTCCCATTGATGTAGGGGGTGATGCCCAGGAAGCAAGTCAGGCATCTTGGAACTCAGTTCCCCAGAAAGGAAAAGTGAGGACACATTTGCACACAGGGAAAAGTGTGGGCAGAAGGGAGGGATTCAGCTCCACCCCGGTGACCCCATTCCTCTGAGATCTTGTGCCCAAGAGGCCACCACCAGGGTACGGCAGCCTCCACTCAGCCATTCCCCAAGGAGTGGCACCAGGTCGCATTGCACCCCTGGGGTTTCCATGGCAGCAGAATTACACACCAGGACAGTAACCCAGGGATGGAGGAGAGATTTAAAGGGACAGCTCCACCTGAAAGCAGCCACAGATCCCAGTCTTGATCCAAAGAAGGAAGGGAATCTGGTGACAGCGGAAGAGGGAGCAAGGCTGCAGATCAGGAGACGCCAGGTTCAGGATCTCTAAGCTCTCAGCCCAGTGCCATTGCCCATTTATCTCCCAACTCTCAGGAAAAGGGCCCCTGACTTTACCCAAAGTAGATATGGGGTCTCTCTGCAAGAAGAATACACCTATACCTTTTCCCTCCCTTCCAACAACCACACTGACCCATGGGGAAGGGCGGAAAAAGGACCTTGTTAGCTTTGCCCTTCACAGAGTCCAAGACAGGGATCTCCCAGGGAAGGAGGGAAGGGGAGCCTGAACTCAGAGGCAGGGACACAGCTGTCTCTCTGTCCTGTGGGAAGTATAATGGCCACCAGATAATAAGGGGAAGAACCCAGCATTAGATTTTTGAAGCTGGGAGCTAATGTAGCTCGGGGTAGGACAGAGGCTGCCTGAAGGAAGAGAAATACTTTGTACTTCTTCCTTTGAATATGAGAAGCCAGAAGCAGCCCCTCGAACAACATGAAGGGGAGCAGGAGCCCCAGGAGTCCTTTGAGGAAGCAAAACCTACTGCCACACCCCAAGGCTCCACTCCCTGTCCCCCCATCCTCCCCACCACGCCCCCATCAAGTGGTCTGCAACAAGGAAGCCAAATTGCTGGGCTTGCTCCTCCTCCTACACCCCAGTCAGGCACCATTGATGGGTTTACTAGGCAGCCCCGATGGACAGGCCATTAAGCACGGGCTCAGGGGTGGGTTTAATTAACCCCTAAGCAGCTTACGGTGGGGCCTAGGCAGGCTGAAAGAGGCGGGGAGACCCCAGGGAGCCCAGCAGGCTGGACAGGAGATGGGGAACTGAGCCCTCCAATGCTGCAGGAGCTGGAGACATTGGTGCCATCCCTCCACTGCAAGGAGAAGAGGCCTTTCCTGGACAAGTGTGCCACAGTTTAGACCCCGGCTCACTCCCTTCACGTTCTTGGAGAGGAGGGACAGAGGAATCATTCTACCCAAAGTGGCAGCCCTGGAACCTCTAGCAGAGGCAGTAGCGGGGCCTCGAGCAAGGGAAGGAGCTGCATGGGAGGGAGGCATCCAGGCAGGGGGAAGTTCAGACAACTCAAGAGCAGAACCATAGCAATTCCCAGCTGCCCAGGACTCAGAGAGCCTCTATCACAGGGAACTCAACCTTCTGGGGCCCTGCGTGCACTACAGGAATCCATGAGCTCCTAGAGTGGCATGTACCTTTTGTGCATGGATGCATATGTCTACGATGAGGGCTCACTGCTGTCACCAGATTCTAAGTGACTCAGGACCAATAAAAGTTAAGAACAGGCCAGGTGCGGTGGCTCACACCTGTAATCCCAGCACTTTGGGAGGCCAAGGTGGGTGGATCACCTGAGGTCAGGGGATTGAGACAGCCTAGCCAACATGGTAAAACCCCATCTCTACAAAAATACAAAAATTAGCTGGGCATTATGATGGGTGCCTGTAATCCCAGCTACTCGGGAGGCTGAGGGAGGAGAATCACTTGAACCTGAGATGCGAAGGTTGCAGTGAGCCAAGATCCCACCACTGCCCTCCAGCCTGAGCAACAGAGCAAGACTCCGTCTCAAAAAAAAAAAAAAAAAAAAAGTTAAGAACACTGATCTTGTCCCATCATCTCATCTTAGGGAATTCTCAGGTCTTCAAAGGGAGGTGATTGTTTCAAGGACACAGGGTTAATGACAAAATAACAACTCAGGCCAGGCACAGTGGCTCACACCTGAATTCCCAGTACTTTGGGAGGTTGAGGCAGGTGGAGCACTTGAGCTCAGGAGTTTGAGACCAGCCTGGGCAACATTTTTGTCTTTACAAAAAATATAAAAATTAGCTCAGCATGGTGGTGCACACCTATAGTCCCAGCTACTCGGGAGGCTGAGGTAGAAGAATGGCTTGAGGCTGGTAGGTAGAGGTTGCAGTGAGCCAAGCTTGCACCACTGCACTCCAGCCTAAGCTAAAGAGCCAGACCTTGTCTTAAAAACAACAATAACAACTTGGTGGCAGTGGCAGCAACAGCAGTATAATAAGTATGACTATTCCTAAAAGTAATGTGCTCTCCCATCACAGCCTTTGCGTCTCACAGCAGCCTCTTCACAGAAGAGGAAATGTGAGCTCCAAGAGGTTAAGCAGTTTGCTACTGAGGCTTTGCTAGTTTATCTGAATGGCCCATTCCCTTGTCCTAATGCCTCCTACAGAGCCACGCCCAGGTATCCTGACCTGGTATTCTCGTTCCTTCACTCAGAGCTTCCTGGCCCCCAGTACCACCTGTCCACCTGTGGCACATGCTGGCCTAGTGGGCAGTGATTATGGACTTCTCAGCCCCAGGCTGTATTGCTGTAATCCCTCCATCCCCAAGCCATTCTCCAAGGCCCAGCTCCCAGGCCACCTCCTGAAGCCCTGGTCCCATGCTACTGCCCTCCAGCAATAGTACGGGTCACCTCTGGAGCATGCATCCCCTGCCCTCCACAGAAGTGAGTTGTGCTCCAGCCCTACACTGGAGCTGGGGAGCAGGTACGGGTCTTATTCCTTCTCTTCTCCATTCCAGCACAGGAACCCACACAGAGGAGACGGCCACAGCAGCTGCCAGAAGGAATGGCTGAGTGGTAGGATGGAAGAGCAGTGGAGCCAGTTGGTCCTTATCTGGACCTGTGCAAGTGCCCACCCCTAAGTCCTCGCCTGGCACCCTCTGAACCACTGAAATAAGCTAACATCCTCACCCACTTCTTACCAGACTCAGAGTTGGTGGCGGCAACCGGCATGGTGAAGGAGGCAAGGACTCTGAAACGTCTCTCCTGGAGAGGGGAGAGAGGAGGATGAGTGGATACAAGGGCAAAGCAATGGGGAAGGGAATAGGAAGAGCCTCCCCTTCAGGACCAGTCAGCAAGGTAGGGGAGAAGGTGCTGCCCAGAAAGTGGGGGTTGGAGAACAACAATGATTCCAACAGTCCTGGGAAGCAGGAAAAGCAGGTATTACACGCCTATTTCTCTGAGGAGGAGGAGACCATGGAGGATAAAGGAGGTTAACTGATTTTCCCAAGATCACAAAGCTAATAAGGAGAGCTAGAATGAAAATCCAGGTTTTATGACTCAAAAATAAGTATATAAATAAAGTGTTTCTTCCTGCTGTCTTTTTTGTTTGTTTGTTTGAAGAAGGAACAAGTAGAATTTTTAGAGGGTAAGAACATAATTTGGCTGAGCAAGGTGGCTCACGCCTATAATCCCAGCACTTTAGGAGGCTGAGGCACGAGAATCACCTGAGCCCAGGAGTTTGAGAACCACCTGGGCAACATGGCAAGACCACCATCTCTACAAAAAATTTAAAAATTATCCAGGTGTGGCAGTGCGTGCCTATGATCCCAGCTACTTGTGGGACTGAGGCAGGGGGATCTCTTGAGCCCAGGAGGTCGAGGCTGTGGTGAACCATGATTGCGCCACTGTACTCCAGCCTGGGCAACAGAGCAAGAACTTGTCTTTTTTAAAAAGTCATTTTAAAAAATAATGGAAGAGTCCAGAATTTGAGTCAAAGTAGAAAACACGAGTACTCCCAGACTGTAGGTTCCCTGAGAGCCAGAACCACATTGATTTTATTTGCTTCTGGAACCTAGGCCTACCAAAGCGTCGATGTTTCACAGACATTTATCTGGGGGGCTGACAGAAGTTACATGTACCTCTCCATGGCCCCTCTGGCTGGCTCTCTCTCCTCTCTCCCTTTCTTAGCTCAGAGCTGGAACAAGGAGACCAAGTGCTCTGGGCAGAACCAGGCATGGAGGCTACAGCCCCAGTTTCCATTCCAGGACCTCCCCAGGCTAGAATGGGCTCCCTCGTTCTCCCAGGAGAGGGCAGGGGGTTACCCCCCACCCTTCTTCCCTTTGCCTTCCTGGGCATGTGCTGCTGGATAAAACCCTAATTCCTAGTTGCCATGACAACAGGAGGCAGTGGCTCACAGCAGGGGTGGGGAGTGGGGGGAAGCATCTGGCAGTGCCCACTTTAGGACTGAATGCCTGCTGAGTCCTGGGGATGAGGGAACCACAGCAACTCTACCTGCCCCCAAAGAGGATTCTTCCCAGAGGACTCGTACCTGATTTCAATAAAACCCTCTCTGCTCCCATTCCCCTCTCAGGCCTGAGCTGGTCACCTGAGCTCAGGTGACAGAAATTACAAAAGTGAGGGGGATGGTTCCCTTTCCTCCCGGCTCTGCCCCTGAGGACATGGAAGAAAGGTGCTTTCAGCGAGGGGAAGGGCACCCCTATTCAGGCCACACCCAGGCTGGAAGAAATGCCCAGGATCCACTGTGCTGGCCCGTGCCTCTGGTGCCAATCTCTACTTCTAGAGAGCACGGAGGAGGGATCCCTTCCCTCACTGCCCCAGGCCTTGATGACCTGGAGCCTGCTGGCTGCTGCTGCTCTCCCTCATAAGGTCAGAGACTCTTGACTCCAGAAGTCCTCCTTCCCTAGAGCGAGGAGGGTGGGAAAAGGCAGGGAGAATCATGTATGAAATCCCTGCGCTCAGAAGTCTTGCCCAGCCTGCCTGGGCTTTCTCCCGGGGAGTCGGTTCCCACAGCATCGGCTGGCTTTGCTCCCCTAAGCCTGTCCAAGCCTCTGAGAGGGCGGGGCCTGGCTGTGCCCACAAGAGAACGGCAGTGCCAGGCAAGCTAGCCTGGCTCCGTGCCAAGGTCCTGCACCCAGGCATCTGGGAACCTGCACCTCGGCTTCCAAAAGCCTGGGCCCAGATGCCCTCTCAGCTCTGCCTCCGAGATATCCCCATCACCCAAAGTGTCCGTAGGCGAGGGGACCAGCAGTAAAAGGGAGAGGTTTCTTCCAACCTCCCACCCATCCCTCCATCCGTACACATACAAAGAGGTGCGAAGAAGAAAGGTCTGACAAAGGCGCTTTGAAGAGCAAGAGGTCGCGGGGAGGGTTGGACAGAACTGAGGGTCAGAGGATGGGGTCGAAAGGCCAGGCGGACGTGCATGCTTGGACAATCGGATCACTCCTGCCCCAGCGGACCCAGCCCTAACACACTGGGCGCTAGGACCTGGGGGAGGGGGGCGTGTTGCGAGCCATCAAAGAAGGCTCTCTCTGCATGCGCGCCCGCCGGAGACCAGGGATGAGGTCACTAAATGACTGCCCCAGCCACCAACCCCCAACCCGTCCTTATCCCCCCCCCACACCCCCCCGCTTAATTGACCTAACTTTCTAACCCTGGCTCTTCGCTTCTGGCACTGGTCCCCTCCCAAGTCTCCAGACCCTAACCCTGGCTCCCGACCCGCCCTGCTACATACAGCCCGGGAAGCGGGAGAAGCAGCGCGCCCCTTCTGGGGACCTCCTCCCAGTGAAGACTGTGGTGTTAGCTGCCTAGGGGGACCGGGGGCCACCGGGACAAAGCGCAACCTCTGTTTCTCTCCCCAACCCCCGGAAGCGCTAACAGCACGGTTCTTACGTAATGCCGGGCTTCCAAGTCCCCCCAGCCCGCACAGACCCCGGGGAGGCCGCGCGGATACCCGGGCCCCTCACAGCTCACCACCTTGGTGCCTGAAGCCACTTTGGAGCCCCTACCGCAGGGGCGCGGACCAATGTCAATGGGCAGCGGGCCTTGGTTCTCCCAACTAGCACCCCAGAAAGAGGGCCCAGGGGCGGGGGCGGGTGGAGAGGGAGGGAACGGGCCTGGGAGAAAGGGGCCTGTGGAGTTTAAACCCAGTGAATAGGGTCCTAAGTGCCGTGCCAGGACGAAAAGGAGGCGGAGGTCTTGGGGTGGATGGTGGCCAGGGGGCCGGGAGACGCCTACCTGCGCCCCGGGGAGCCCCTAGCTCCGCGCAGCTCCAGCGCAGCCGGGCGCTCACCGTTTATTGCTTGTCAATCGCTAGCCCGGCTCTTAAAGCGGCAAGGCCTCTCCGCGAGGGGGCGGAGGCCCGGCAGAGAGGGGACGCGAGAAAAACGCGGAGGCCGGCACAACTCGGAGGAAGTAGTCTTTCCCAGCAGCTGGTACGCGGGCAGCCAGGTAGTGGTTTGGAAGACACCGCACAGACCACGACGCCGTCCCACTGGGACGGGTTAGGGAGGCAGGACTGGTACCGGTACCCGCTGGTGTCCCTTGGCTCTCCCTTAAAAGGGCGATGGTTAAAGTGCCGGATGAGACCGGCTTGATTACTCCGCCCACCCCTCTTGGCTTAGACCCGCGTTCTAGTTCCAGACGTGCCTCACCTTTCCTGGTTATCCTGCTTCCATATTGAGAAAAGGAACAGGAAGACTTTATCTCCCAGGAAGCAGGATACCAGCCCCAGAAGGCCTCGGGATCAGGGACAGCTTTTTAAGGACTCGGAGGGTGGGTATCTGGATTCCAGACTTTCCAGAAAATTTGCAAAAAAGAGGAAATGTCTTCGTGAAAGGATTCGAGAGCCTATTTTAGGTCTGGGTGAGGGAGGCCTGTTCTATTTCCCTGTCTATGGAATAAAGAAGTAACTGGCTAGCCTTCCTCAGAATCCCAGCCCCAAGAAGTAAATGAAGGGTTAAACCCACTGGCCCGCCTTCGCCCAGCCTCCGGCTCCACCCCAGATCTGCTCGTAAAAGATACTGGGCCTCCAAATACGGGAGGCTCTGTGCAGTGCGCCTGGCATTTGGGGTCAGCTACGCTACTTATCCGACCTCGGCGTTCCGCCACCCCGTCCAGTTACCCTCAGCAAGATGTGGGAGTCATCCCTCTTCCTTGCTAACTGGATTCCTAAGATCATAAATGAACTGCATCTTTGGCCGGGCGCGGTGGCTCACTCCTGTAATCCCAACACTTTGGGAGTCCGAGGCGGGAGCATCGGTTGAGCCTAGGAGTTCGAGGCTAGCCTAAGCAACCTAGTGAAACCCCATCGCTACAAAAGATAAAATAAACAAAATTAGCTGGGCATGGCAGCGCGCGCCTGTAGTCCCAGCTACTTGGGAAGCTGAGGCTGCAGTGAGCCGAGATTGCAACACCGCACTCCAGCCTGGGCAACAGAATGAGATCCTGTCTCAAAAGAAACAAAAAGAAAAGAAATGGATTACATCCTGGAAGCTTGCTTGGAAATCTCAAATATGGGAATCTATCCCGAAAGCAGGGAACTAGTCCCTAGGTCCCAAGACTCAGCTCTCCCCTGAATTCCAAGGGTATAAGTTTGGATATAGGGAAAAGCCACAGAGGCGGCCAAACTTCTGAAAACCACATTGTTTAGGTGCCCCAGGCTTTTACTGAGAGAAGAAAGTTATCGACCCCAGATAGCTTTGACAGGAATTACAGGCCTTGGTCTCTAAACAAAGAGGGTTCCTGGAGCACACTGCTTGCAGCTCTCTCCTCTACCTGCAAGCTAGAAAATCCTTCTTTTTTTTTTGAGACAGAGTTCCACTCTTGTTGCCATGGCTGGGTGCAATGGCACGATCTCCAGCTCACCGCAACCTCTGCCTCCGGTTCAAGCGATCTCCCTGCCCTCAACTTCCAAGTGGGCTGGGTTACAGGCATGCCCACCACGCCTGCTAATTTTGTATTTTTAGTGAGACAGGGTTTCTCCATGTTGGTCGGGTGGTCTCGAACTCCTGACCTCGGTGTTCTGCCTGCCTCAGCCTCCCAAAGTCTGGGAATTGTATGGGCATGAGCCACTACACCCAGCCTAGAAAATCCTTTCTATTGCGGGCGGTGGCTCAAGCCTGTAATCCCAGCACTTTGGGAGGACCAACGCGGGTGGATCACGATGTCAGAGAGATCGAGACCATCTTGGCTAACACGGTGAACCCGTCCTACTAAAAAATACTAAAAACTAGCCGGGCGACGGTGCCGGCGCCTGTAGTTCCCGCTACTCGGGAGGCTGAGGCAGGAGGAATGGCGTGAACCCGGAGGCGGAGCTTGCAGTGAGCTGAGATCCGGCCACTGCACTCCAGCCTGGGCGACAGAGCGAGACCTGTCTGTCAAAAAAAAAAAAAAAGAAAATCCTTCTAATTGAATTCAGGAAGAATTCCCCTTTCCATTATAAAGGCTACCCTCCACTCTCACCTGTCCACCTCTGGGCTGGAAATCACGCAGCTATTTGTATTTGGGAAGAGAAAGAATTTGAATCTCTACAAGATATTAATTAGTTCTCAATCAGTAACCCACAGCAAACCTTCCATTCTATTTAGGATACTGAGGACAGGCTGGGATCTCAGATTCTGGCCCACCTGGGGAGGTGGAGCCCAACTCATTATTCTTAGCGGCTGCCCTGCTGCATTTGTCAGTCAACAAGTATCTCTCTAATAAAGGCCTTGCAGAATGCCAGCCTCTCACATCTGTTCAGGACCTTACAATTGACAAATTGTTTCATTCTCACAACAGCCTTGTGCAGTTACAGAAAGAGAAGAAACATTTCTTGATGCACAATAAGATGCTCCTCTTCTGTGCCAGGCAAGGTACCATTTTCTGTGATACTGAGATAGATACGGGCCATGACCTCCTAGAGTTCACAGTCTGGGGTTGAAGTCAGGAAGGGCTGTGTTACATAGATACAAAAAGCGCTTCTTGGTAGCACAGCTGAATGCCATAATAAAGGTGCAGTGTGTCCTAAGCTGTTCCCCAAAGGAATAGAGGTGCTAATGGTTGGCAATGGAGTAGCTGGGAAGGGAAGCAGGTTTGCGGTTGGGCAATGCATCCCCTAGCAGTTAAGGGCTGCCCACTACCTCAAGAGGGGAATGAGTCCTCCTTCTCTGGGGTCTGTAATTAGCTCTGCTTTCCTCCTTGCCTCAGCCTCAGAGGTCATAAGGGTGCAGGTAGTATCTCTCCTTCCCCCAAAATCAAGATTTTTCTATGGTGGTGTTCAGCCCAGAGTTTTGGGAGTCAAGGCGCAGAGAAAAGTAAAACTCAAGAGTGTTACAAATTTTCAGCAGATAAGGCTTTGCACTGAGTGATGTTGCACTTCCTATAATGACCAGCAGGGGCCACCAACAGCTATCCCTAGTCTATCTACACCCACCCTCTGCCGTGGTTCGCCTCCACACCTGCGACTCGCGGCTGCTTAGTTCTGGAAACCTTATTTATGGACTATACTTCTCAGTAAGGAAAAAAGAAAAATTTGGGTGGAGTGCCGTGGCTCATGCCTGTAATCCCAACACTTTGGGAGGCCGAGGCAGGCAGATCATGTGAGTTCAGAAGTTCAAGACCAGCCTGGCCAATATGATGAAACCGTCTCTACTAAAAATGCAAAAATTAGCCGGGTGTGGTGGCGGGCACCTGTAATTCCAGCTACTCTGCCGGAGCTGAGGCAGGAGAATCGGCCTGAACCTGGGAGGCCCCAGGTTGCAGTAAGCCATGATGCGCCAACGGCACTCCCAGCCTGGAGGACAGAGCGAGACTCTGTCACACCACACACACACAAAGTCAATGTAGAGCCTTAAACTACATACAAATAAATATAAATATTTGCTATAACTATATTTGTAGTCAATTATAGGATATGCATATTAGAAATCACACACGTAGATTTTATTTTTTATTTATTATAAATAAATAAATATATTTTGAGACAGGGTCTCTACTTTGTTGCCCAGGCTGCCAGTGCGTAGTGTGGATCATAGCTCACTGCAGCCTGGACCTCCCAGGCTCAAACGATCCTCCTGCCTCAGCCTCCAGATTAGCTGGGACCCATAGCTGCGTGCCACCAAGCACCTGGATAATTTTTTTTAAATTTTTTATAGAGATAGAGTCTTGCCATGTTGCCAAGGCTGGCCTTAAACTCCTGGGCTCAGGTGATTCACTTGCTTCAGCCTCCCAACGTGTTGGGATTACAGGTGTGAGTCACTGAACCAAGCCAGGATTAATTTTTTAACTATAAATAGAAATTCCAATTTTGTCTTCCCATACCAAAAGGACCATCTTGCACACCCCTAGGTGCACACCCACTTTGGAAACCACTGTTCTAAAGGAAAAACTGTGCCGCCCTCCCTAGTCCCTGCCTCAACAGGGCATCCAAACAGGAATGGATCCAGACAGCTTTGCCTTCCCACCAGGACTAAATCGAGGCCTCCGGGAAGGACCAAATTTCCTGGCCTCTTGCTCATCACGCAACCTCAAGACAGAAATTGAAGCCCCCTCCACCACTACCACTACCACTACCACCAGCCTGGCCCGCATTCATGTCAGATTGCCTTTCTAGAGAGCAGAGCCCCAGAACCTCTCTTGGAAGCAGCATCTGTTCCTCCACCTGGCCCAACAATTGCACTTTGCCTTGCCTCTTGATTTTAGTCTGGCCACTTCCCTATTGGGGTGGGAAGTTCTGGAACCAGGCAATTTTGTGTTGAAATCCTGGCTCAACCCCATCGTATGTGTGTCTTAGGCCAGTTAAATAACCTTTCCAAGCCTCAATTTCCTCATTTGTATAATGGGGATAACAACTTTGGGAGAGGATGGAGGTAGAGGGGCTGCCACGTGCCAGGCACACAGAAGGTGTTCCATAAATGCAGTTCCATTCTGGGAGTAGGTCTAGGCAGGCTCTAGCTAGGTGCCAGCGGGCTGTGGGTGGTTAGTCCTTATCTCTGGCTGTCTGATGTGTCTTGGCTGACCTCAGGTTCTCCTGCAGAAGGCAAGATCCACCCCAGGGCTTCTGGAGCTCCAGGTATCTGTTACAGACAGCATGTCCTCTTCTCGCTGCCCACACACTCTTTACTGGCACCTTGCCCACATCCCTCTGTGCCACCCACTTGTCTTTTCCTCCTCTCCCTCCAGTGCCTCCACTGAAGTGCCAAGGGCTTTGATATGGGCACCACGTGAGGGACCAGTAACAGGTGGCCCATTGCCAAAGTGGAGAAGAGCTTGCAAAAGTCGGTGCATCGGGGTGTGGGGTGCATGCCTGTAGTCCCAGCTACTCAGGAGACTGAGGCAGGAGGACCCCTTAAGCTCAGGAGCTCAAGACCAGCCTGGGCAACATAGGGATACCCCAATATCTCAGTAAGAGTAATAGTAGTAATAATAATAATTTTTAAAAGTCAGTGCAAACTCTGGGAGTAGAGGGAGTCCTGCTAACCACCCCAATGACCCAATGTCTATTGCTGAAGCTCCCCTACAAACCAACCACAATTTGAAGTGTCCCTATAGACCCTGGACAGGGCAGAGATTGATGAAGGAGTGGGTGAGGGAGTGCAGGAAGCTTCTGGACAGCAGGAGTTGAAGAGGGGATCAAAGCACAAAGCAGACCCAGTTAGACGCCCTGGGGACCACATGAGGCACTTGATTGCTCTTTGGAGACATATTAGAGGAGTGTCCCCGCTTGAACTAGTGACCTGGAGGAGAGCTGTACATATACATACACATTGCATGCGTGCACACACTCACATATACAGACACACACACATACACACCCACTCTCACATATACACACACACACCCTACACACACTCACGCACACACACTCAAATACACACATTCTCATATACACACACATACACACTCATACACCTACATACACATGCACACTCAGACACACTCACATATATAGACACACTCATACACACACACTCACATATACA